ACCAACAAACGCACTTAAATGTAGGGTAGAAACCCCTTCCTCATTTTTTGTGCCACGATGGCAAAAGTGTTTGGCTTCTAATGTTTGGGATGAAAAACTGCCTTTGATTTACAGAACACAGGTCTCGATGGGACATGACATTTCAAAAAGTCACACGAACAATTTGGAGGCAATATATACCAGATTTTAAAAGGTAAAGGTCAATATTTTAGTTCTAACGTAAGCCTTTATTGGATGCCCGTGGAGTTCTTTCATAAGTCCATGTCACTGTGTGGTCTTGTCACATTAAGCACAAACATTTGCTTTCCTATTGGATATAATTTCGATTGATATTTACAGGAGTTTCACATTGCTTTTTTAACTTTGCCAACACGGTCACGTTGGGATTATTTTACAAATTAAAATGTAACCACTCGGGTGCCTCAGAATGATTGCGTAAGTACTATTCTGAGAATTGTATTCTAAATGTTCACTGTTCGTGAATAATTCTGGAAGTGTCTGGCTGACTCCGGGTCTAATGGCCACATCAGAGCACTGAGCCGACACCACATGCTACGTTTGCTATGTTTTCACAACCACTGGGAACCAGCTTCAGCCAGCCCTGCTCTTCTCCATTTCTGGCCTTGTAGCAATCTTAAAGGCACTAGAGTCCACATTTCCACTCTCCATGCAACTCATGCCTCTGTGGGCTCGGCCACTCTCCAAAGTCCCCCCCCCACCCCTACCTTGTCCCCCCCCCCCCCCCCCCTCCATATCCTCTGGTAGATATCGGGAAGCAATCTTGAAAAAAAAACTTGTTTAAACAAAGTTTAATGGAGGCTTGGATTAAGTTTACCTTTTGCAATAAAAAAAGTATAATTTTTTGCAGCTCTTTAAGTTGATGCAAAGCGAGTGCTGTCGTGGGGCATGCTTCCCATATTTGTGTTGAGCACATCCTGGTGTCACAACTTGTTGTGCAGTTGGCCCGGATGAAGGCATACGGCACAGGATGAGCTTGCTTGCTGTCTGTCAGGTAGACCCAGTAGGGCTGCCGTGGGGAAATGCCGGCTTGTTGTTGCACGACCAGCCCGGGTCATACACCAAGACAGCACACTTCCCTCTGGTTGTGGAAACACGGCATGACGTCCTGAGTTTCAGCTCCCCATGATTAAATCACGTTCACAAGTGCAGTGAGACGATGGCCTCAGCCCAGTCGCCACTGAGTGCACAAAAACAAAACTTTCCAAAGTTAGATTTTTGGGTTTTCACATAATTCGGCAAGTTCAAAATATTTTGTTTGATTACCAAGTAATGAACGTTGCTTGTAAGGCATACAAATATTTCATCTCGTGTTAAATAATATACCTTTTTGAATTAATTCATAAGTCATTCTTGCATGATGTCAGACAGTGGTAAAAGGTCTGGAACAATACACGTTGAGTTGAATGAAGCAGTGATACTGGATAAAGAAAGTTAATCGTGGAAGTTTGTTTGCACCATTATCGCAAATCATGTAGGAGAAGGGACAGATGATGATGTAATGTCACTGCCCTCTATTACAGTATCAAAAGGACAATTATTCTTGAAAAAATGGTGTTAAAGACAATAATAATGTATTTTTACGTTTGACATGTTTTGTAAGATAATTCAAGTTGGTGTTCCCCAGCTCAAATGAGCAATGGAGCAGCACTCATGGCCTTTGATGGCCCGGAGTCAGCCATGTAAATTCCATATTCCCATGGCAGGGACCATTATTTCCATAGCATGACCACTTGACTTCCCATCAAGTGGTACTTATTTTAAATAACCGCCAACAGGCACTTGAACTGTTACATTTTTGGTGAGTTATTTGCTCTCACCACAGTGCTGCCTGGCCAGCCAATAAAATTATTACATTTAAAATATCATAATCGTATTGTAAATACAAAAGGGGAAATACATTGTTGAGGTAATAATATAATAACACAACATTAAAAAAAATTGTGCCTGACAGTTACATTAACTTTCATTGGTAGACGTGTTTGAAAAGACAACGAAAACGGACTTGTTTAGTATAAATAAAATCGTTTCCAACATATTGAGTGCGGTTTGCACAAGAGCAGCTCAAGTTCATGAGCAAGCTTTTGCCATTCCTCTGCCTGCACAAAGCTGGGATTTGCATAATATACCGCTGGCGTCTTGCCTTGTGAGCTTCCTCAGAAGCTAGGTGTGTTTATTTTGTGGAGGGCAATAGAGAAAGCAGTGTGGATTTCAAGCTGGCAGAGACTTGCTGAGATAAATAAGACCATCCTTTGCAACACTGCATGCAGATTTTTATTTATTTCTCTACGCTTATAACTGAGTGGTGTGGGGACGTTTCCATCTTTAACTCTAAATTCGGTGAACTGAAAACAAACTGGTGTGCACTGTAAAGTTATAATATATAAACAGGGTATAACGTTAAATGAAAGGCATGGTAGCATCAGCAGCTCTCATATGGGTCCCACATTTCAGATGCCTTGTCCAAAATAGCCTTTTTAACGTTAATTTTTTTTAGGTTATGAAGACAAATGGATTACACCAGCCTTCGTATGCGGTTTGAAACATCTGAACGGCAGCAGATATAAACAAAACCACCCTTTGCATCTTTGGAGGAATTTACAATGTGTGATAGAAAGTAATATATTTAAAGTCAAATTGGCACACTCCAATTGACTATTAACTCCGTTTTATTTTATTCTTAAACTCTGTATCATGTCGAATTAATGTGAGCTAATACCTGCGGGAAGTACCCGGTGTTGCCCGGGTCAAAAAAATATTTAAAACCTACTCTTAAAAATCTAACAGCAGTACATACTGACTATGGTGGTACCTGCTATGATTACAGCAGTGCATACCGACTGTGGTGGTACCTGCTAACACTACAGTAGTACATGCTGACTCTTTAGCAGTATTTATCGACTCTATAGCACAAAGTACTCACCTGACAGAGTGGCGTGGTGAGGCCTAGTCCCGTACAGAGCCTCAGGCCTCATCTAGATTGTCCAGCTGGCCGGGGTGGCACCTTGGCAGGCTGGGGCTGGACTGCTACCCATGACCACCCCCCAGCCACGATCTCCCGGCTGCTCTGCAGCAATATTTACGGCCTATAGTGGTAGCATCTACCGACTATAGTAGTAATAACTGCACGCATCGGGGTGGGGGGGACATCACACAGTGAAGATTTCAGCTCAGTGTTTAGTGTATTTTTATAGCATTTTTAACACGAAAGAAAAAGCCCCCCTCACTCCCAACGTGCTACTTGGCATGGGCCGTCCCCCCCACCAAAGGCGCGTGAGTTGGTATGGTCGTGCACGCGTCATAAATAAAGAGATAGCGCACGAAATCGCTAATTAAACTAATTTAAACTTGACGGATGTGAAAAAGTAATAGCGCTTGCTCACGGCGCGGCTTACGGCGTGGTACCTGGCTATTTTTATTGTACGTTAACCCCACCGTTGGAGAGCCAAATTCTTCGCAAGCGCGCGAGCACACAAACCCACAGACAAATTTTGTATAGAAGATGGTATTGGCACATTATTTTTTATTGAGCTGTGAATACATAAAAAGGCATGTTTATGTCTGCAGCACGGGTAGGAAACAAGTAGAATATCTGGCTAGAATCAAGATAAATGTGAGACATTAATAATTTTTTGCTGTGTTATGTTGATATGTTTGATTTGATAAATATGTAAATGTTCTTGATCTAATCACATCATTGGTTAAATATACATCCTGTCATATAAACATGATCATAGAATGTCCCTGTCTTGTCAGATAAAAAAAAGAGTGATGTCTTTATTACCAACAACAGGGCAAATTGCCAAGGTGATGTATTTCAGCTGTTTTGTCGGGAGGAGAGTTTTGCCTGTACTGTATGCATATAATTATCAAGGATCATACCTGAGTGCATTTTGACTTTAAATATCATTTTAGCACTGAAATCTGTAGCCAGTAAACTCGTTCTCACCCTCTAACCATAGAAATTCTTGGAAAGTACCTATTAATGTAATTCACGAGTCGGCTTATATTAATGGTTAATAAAATATCCAAACATGATTACATTTTCAAGCAATCTCAATACACTGGAGTGTCATAGTACATTTGGCAAGAGCCCGCTGTAATGAAAGCTCATGAGGTTTGCTTATACAACTGCATTTTGTCCTTTACATAGAGAATGAAATACTTCAATCTTGGAGTAATACTTCAATCGCTTCCATCAAAGAGGGAGGCAAAAGTGAATTGAAATGTTCGTACATCAAGAAGCTAATTGGGAATTACAACGAGAGACAGAAGATCATATGAACCAGAGAACAAGTACAAATTATAGACATCTGGTTGACTTATAAAAGTATGTGGCCTTGGGTAGGACACATCATTAGAAGAGATGATCACTGTTGGATGAGACTATAGATTGAATGGCAGCCAAAGGAGTGAACATGTCAAGAGGATGACAGCGGATCCGTGAGGGATGGCAATGATGTGTGGTGGCCTTTTAGAATTCATGTCCTGATTGAGGATCCATTCTACCTATCTTCCTTCTTGCGATCAATAAAATGAGTACCATTTCCCCGCCACAAGAATACAGAATTTTCTAAACCGACTCTGGACCCCCAACGAAGGTGATTGCTGCCGAATTATATTTTGAGCATGGGAAGATATTGGCTTTTAGTCGTAACTCGTAGTCAAGTTCGAAGCAGGCATGCCAGTACTGAGTAAGGCTCAGGATGATGCAATTCAGTGGTATGCCAACCTCAAGTTGAACATCTAATTGTTGCTCTATTTCAGGCCCACTAAGAAAGACGATGAATGTTCCACCCTTAATTGTTTTTTTCCCTCCTTTGCTTGCTCCGTCTGTCCCAATCATTTCCGTTCCCTCCTGTGTCGTTCTGAACTCTGAGAAGTTAGTTGCATCATGGGCGTATTATAAATGTACGTCGTTAACTTACGTCCCTTTGCTCATTGCAATATTTGTTTTGTTTGCATTTTCTTCGTTGAAACAGATTCTAGACCGTAAGAATGGCGAGATTGAGGAGGTCAAGTCCCTCAACCGGAGGAAGCAGAAGGAGGCAGACGATACCATCAAGAAGCTGGAAAAGAAAGGTATTTGAGTTACACTTATAATATACATGCAGTACCATTCTCTTCAAATAGCCTCGTGATTAGCCTAGACCAGGGGTCGGCAACCAAAATAACAAGAAGAGGCATTTTTTTTCAAATTTCGTAAAAAAAAAAAACAATATTTCAAGAACCACAATGCATGTGAATATGAGATCGTGGTCCGTAATAAATTACGTCATCAAACAGTCCTTAAAGAGCCGCTTACGGCTCTGGAGATACAGGTTGCCGACCCCTGGCCTAGCCGATACGAGTTCAGTGGGTAACAATGGTTAGAGATCTTGTGGGATGATTACCAAACACGCAAGGCATAATGCACATCTATGAATGCTTACTCCATTGCAGTTAAACTTATCATTGATGTGTTAGAAAGTTTGCAGTAAGAACACATCAGGATGTTGTCATAATTGCATCACCCCTCGTGGTATATTTACAAGAGCCAGTAGGAGTAAGCGCTGTCTTTTCGATGAAAGAGCCGAAGCGTCAATGGTACTGTCTCAGAGACTGCAGAAAACAACAGGGTTTTTTTCGCGTGTAAGATGCAGGTTAAAATAGTCTTCATTTGGTCCTCATGAAGAGGCCATAAAGAGTTGCAATTTAATTATACATTTTTTTTTTAAACTTGCAACATGTTACACACGTTTTAAAGCTTTCGTGACTGCAAGGATTCATCTTCTTTGGTTCTTTCGGTAAAGTCTCGTCCCCTTCACCTGATGAAGGCCGCTTGCGTTGTGGCCGAAACGTCGTGAGAATATTATTGTGTTATTTTATTTGATCAATTTATTATTTTATTCTCATTCTACGTGACTTTACCGAAAGAACCAAAGAAGATGTTACACACGCTATTGGTTTTTAAATGAATGTACTGCGTTGAATATGCATTCATTTAAATCCTTGCGGGACCAAAGACCTGCACTTTTTCTCTCCCTAAAAACATGAATGTATTTATTAATGTTTGTTGTGCGAGCACGTGCATGTGTGCATATTTCCTCCAGTGGGAAGCGGTTGCACTGTGGTTAGCATGCTGCGAACCCGGCGACCTGAGTTCGATTGCCGCTCACGGCCACCGACATCGGTGACAAATATCTGAACCGGTTCCGGGCCTCCCTTCGCTCGACTCAGCTTGAAATGAGTGCCCGATGTGGTGTATAAACATCGCCGCTGGGGAGGCAAAGATGACTCGGTTGTGGTGGTGGTCGCCCACTCCCTCGTGTGCCATGTCAGCCTTAAAAAGCTACATGGGGGATAATGTGTTTGATTCCTCGCTATCATTGAGGGATTACCACTGGTGGGATGGCCAGACCGTCGCATTTTTCTGTAAATGTGTCCGTGTGTGTGTTAATGGGGAGCTGTGGCGCAGTGGTTAACACACTGCGATACTAACTCTATGACTTGAGTTTGATTCTTGGCCGTTGCTAACATCCATGGAGAATGGTATCTGAGTCTATCCTGGGCATCCCCTTAACTGAGTACTCGGAACATCAGCATTGCGGAGACAAAGGCAGCCGGGCATGGTGCTGGTCACACCACCTCTTCATCTACTGTGTCGGCCTTCATTGGTGTTTTCAAACAGCACTTTCCCCAACAGTATGTTGAAGGCTATTCAGGGCATCTTTGCCTTTGCTCCCTCCAGTGCAGGCCCTCATGTGGGAGGCCCAGGTTCTACAGGAGAGCAAAGACAGGGAGATGGTTGACCTGGCGAGAACTTCTGAGCACAACATTGAAGACCTCAGGTCCCAGTATGAGAGCAAGGTTTGTTTACAATGAACAGGGCATGCACATTATTACGTTACGTGGGAAAAGATGAATATTTTTAACAGCTTCACCCACACTTAGAGAACTCTGCTTAAATTTTTTTTTATCGGATAGACATTTAGAGAACTGCGTTAATATGATTTAAAGCTTTCGTGACTGCAGGGATTCATATTCTTGGTTCTTTCGGTAAAGTCACGTAGAAGGGAAACAATGAAATAATAAAAATATAAAACAATAAAATTATCACGACGTTTCGACTGCAACACAAGCAATCATCATCAGGTGTGAAAACCACAGCTGCCTGGGTAAATTGGTCAGCACACATTGGACTTCCAAACCAGAGGTCACCTGTTTGTTAAGATAAAAAAAAAACTAAAGTTTTTATATTTATTTTACCAGATAAGGCCCACTGGATTCTATTTTCAGAAGCAACCTGGCCACAAATGATAGCTCAACGAAGTGGCTTATGTGGAAAATTATTGCAGCCAAATAAATACTCTAAACGCATGTTTCTAAATGTAGAGGGACAAACCGGAGGACCTGGTGAAAACTTCATGCCACCAGGGGAGAAAGTGCAAACTCAAAATATACAGGTGTCACGGTCGGGATCGAACCTATGACCTGCATACTTGAGGTATTGAACATCTCGCCACTGCACAGCAGTTGAAACAATAGGAACGTTTCTTAAATCTTACCACCTCTGTCCACGCAGGAGTATAAATGGACACGTCCCAGTTACTCAATCGGTAGGTCGCGTGTGGTGAGGTGACTTGCATACTCCCACGTCTTTCTAGACATCTGGCCAGAGTAGACAAGGAGGCCAAATTCTTTCCAGAGTTGTTCTATTGGAGACGCTCCAGCCAGCATGAGCAAGCAATTCCAGGGCTGCTCTTTTACCTTTTGTGTTAATGTTTCACCCATTTTTTTTACATGCTTTTGTTGTATAAAAAAAATAAAACGTGCCTACATTAGCGTAGTTTTACTGTGGTCCTTTCTAAGTGATTTATAGGATTTTTTTTCCTGCATGTAAAAATATAGACTTTTATTGACAAAAAATTCTGAAGTCCATATTTATTTAACTACATAAAGAGTGCTTTGACGTTAGAAGTTACTAATGGACGTATATAAAAATATAGTCATGCATTCAAGCCTGTAGTTATTTTAAATTAATAGCCAAGTTTCAAAACAGTTTGTCTGCCTTGTATAATGGACATGTGCTTTGATGTGCTAGATCACATCAACGCTGAATTTGATGTAAAGTGGGCATTAAGTTGACATCATTCTCACGAGTATGCCACATGCTGTGCTACAATTACAGTCCAAATTTGCAAATTACCCGCATCGACTAATTTGGAAAAAAATCTCTTTGCCTTTGACTACTTGCTATCACTCTTAACAAGATGTAAACGCCTCTGTGGCTCTATTCATTATTCAGGACATTGGGAAAAAAAAATCCCCCACTCTAGTTCATTACCAATCTGTCCAAGCAGTGTTTTGGTTGGAACACACGGCTCGCAGTCGGAAGGTTACTAGTTCACATCTCTGTCGGGGGGTTGGCTCAGGCCATCAGTCTTCTCAGGTCAGTAAAATATAGCAGCGCTGTTTTTGTGGGAAGTCACACATTGGTGGTCCCTGCTGTTGATAAACTTGGCCCCGCCATGGGTTTGTGGGATTTACGTTGCTTGCTCAGGGCCACCAACAGAGGACGATGGCTTTCCTGCCAATGCCCGCTTGACCAGGGAGGCATCGTTTTTTAACCAGATTTTCACATCATATTTTGTTATTCTTTTAAAAAGTTATTTCGGAAAAATCGAGAGGATAGGTAGAAAATTATTTTCCAACAAAAACTGTCCTTGCAACACGGCATGGAAATTTTGATCTGCTTTATATTGTGGCATTTCAATGTATTCAGGACACAGTGAATGCATTTTTATGAAATAAGCTGCATTTGTCGATGTTAATCTGATTAAAGACTTATAATTTAGGATGCTGTTGTAAAAGCAATGCAAAAATAAGAGTACATGATGCCACTATAGGATGAAGAGAAACAATTTCATTTTGGAAAAAGACAAATTACTCATCTTATTTGTGTGAAAGCAGAAGTTTGATTTTAATAAATTGATTATTTATTTCCTACTTCTTAATGTAAACACTGTAAACATTGCTTGCATTGGGAATTGAGTGACAATGTACCCAAGGAACATAACAATGTCCCTAAAGAATAAGGTTTTGTCGATCAGAATTATGGTCATTGATAAAAGAAATGCAAACAAATAAAAAAATTGGCACAGAGACATGAGAAAAAATGCACGCTTAGAATTGCATTGATCGACAGGAAGAGGAAAGCATGAATTAGAGAACACAAGTTAGAGGCATCACATTGGCTTAAGCAGGATATATCACAAGAAGGGATGATGGTCAGTGGTTAAGACTAACAAGAGAGTGGCATTCAAAGAAGGAAAACATTCCAAAGAGAAGTGGAGCGAAGAAACAACTTGCGCATGGGTACTCATTGGATTGCTACATCACAGTACCCTGAGGCTTTGGGGCGGCCTTCATCCAACATGGGATTGATCGCGGCCGATTGATGATGACGATGAACAATGTACCCACAGCTTACGGAGGCCACGTCGGATTTCGAAGTGGAGAAGCTGCAGCTTCAGAAGCGCCACACGGATAACATCCAGGCTCTGTTGGACGACACCAACACACGTCTCGCGGCCATGGAGGACGAGTATTCGTCACAGGCGCGCGCTACGGTGGGAACATGCGGCCCCTCCAGCGCACAGCTCGGCCTCCCCCAAGGGAGGCAATGCGTTGACCCTCACTGCTGACCCTCACGCTTGCTAACGCTACCCTTCCGCCTGGCTTCCCTCCCCTGGCCTCCCACCCCAACCCCGGCGCACCCTAACCTCTATCGGTAACCAAGGCCATATGTATGAGCGTAACATTACGTAAAAGGCCTTACCTGTATGATAGTCTTGATTTAAAGCTTTCGTGACTGCAGGGATTCATATTCTTGGTTCTTTCGGTAAAGTCACGTAGAAGGGAAATAATGAAATAATAAAAATATAAAACAATAAAATTATCACGACGTTTCGACTGCAACACAAGCAATCATCATCAGGTGTGAAAACCACAGCAAGAAAATTTGAAAAAAGTGGCGGTTTTTTTAACGTTAGCACCACGGAGAGCGATTTGGCAGTTATTCAGATGGACGAGTCCATCTATGTTCGGAAAAGAGGAGGGGGGAGACGAAAATAATGGATGCGGTCTGAAAGCCACCGTAAGCGTGAACAATCAATTAAGACCCGAAATGGTTTTATGAAATCCTGCCAATGATTGCTAAGCCAGAATCCATCTTCTCGGTTGAAATTGTCTCTGTTTGTATATGTGGATAGCCTCATGAACGAATCTCTCATGGCCAGATGGCTTGCAAAGAACCTCTGTCTTGGAGAAGTCAATGTCATGTGAGCCTACTGAATTATAACAATGATCTGCTACGGCCAAGGTGTTGGTCCTACCGTGTTTAAGGTCTGCTTTGTGTTCACGAATGCGGTCCGAGACATGGCGTTTGGTTTCTCCAATGTAACTACTACCACAGAGGCAACTTAGTTTGTAGACACCAGGGTATTGTATGTCCGGAATCACATCTTTTACAGACGGAACCAGATCACTAATTTTATGTAATGTGTTGAATCAGACCTGGATCTTGTGTTTATTCAGGATTTTGGAGATCTTTTTTGTGATCCCCGCAATGTAGGGTAAAGTGATGGTTTTGAAAGGCTCCTCACGAGGGTCCTTCTTCATGGTTGGAGTGATAGCTTTGCGGATTGTGTAGTCGGAGTAACCATTAGCCCTGAGAGTATGGTGTACGTGCTTGAGTTCACTGGTGATGTGTTCCTGGTCGGAAATGCATTGGGCTCTATGGTATAGAGTCTTGATGAGGGAATTCTTCTGGGATGGATGGTGTTGGGAATCCGGTTTCAGGTAAGCATCCGTATGGGTAGCTTTCCTGTAGACAGAGTGGCTCATTGAACCATCAGGTCTCTTTTTTATTAGGACATTCAAAAAAGGTAGCTTGCCATCTTTTTCGACTTCCATGGTAAATCTGATGGCTGGGTGTATGGAATTGATGTGGTCAAAGAATTGGTCTAGAGCAGGCCGGTCATGTGGCCAGATGACAAAAGTGTCATCCACGTACCTCTTCCATAAGGTTGGGCGCAGAGTGGCAGTCTGGATGGCGTCAGTTTCAAATTTCTACATGAAAATGTTGGCTACAACCGGAGATAGGGGGGAGCCAATTGGGGTGCCCTCAGTTTGTAGAAAGTTCCATTCCAAACTGGCTCATTTTCTGTCTGAAATCCTGCGGCCTTTCACTGGAAAAACCACCTCTGCGGTACATAATTCTACTCACCTGGTATGGACAATCACGGGTATTTCCCTGTCCCCAGACGACCTGCTTGTCAGTTTTGATGTAGTTTCCTTATTCAGTGTGCTGACTGGCACTGAATAATATATATTTTAAATTTATTGCAAAAATATGACGAAACATTACCAAATAAGTTCATTCTTGTAGAATTTAGTTAAATGTGTTTTATTTACATGTGTTTGTGTATATATGTGAAAGAGTTCCATACGAAATGTAAGTGTATATTGTGTGTGCTTTCATAAATATAAAAATAAATATTCCATGCATATGAAGAGTATTACTGCCATATATTCAGATATCGTTAGGTTGTTTATTTTGCTCTCAATTTTGATGGGCACTCGGAGAGTAATTTTTCTGGGAAGCCCTATGTATCGCGGCTTTCGTAAATCTTCTATCAAAAACTTCGTACAAGCAACAGTTGTTGGAAGCGCTCGGCCTCGGCGCTTATGCCGAACAGTTCCAATTTTTTTTTTGCTGTCGTCCCGGCTTAACTTCTGCCAGACGCCCTCGCATTATCTGTGGCGTGTCAGCCGCCTCTCTTACCGAACAGATTAAAAAAATCCTGACCTCCGAACGTGCCTTGGCTTGCTCGCGCAGGGTGGGATCGTTTTGGCTCATCCTAACCCACAAAGTGACTTGCGCTCATGCGCTCTGAAAAATGCGTCGGGCACGGCAGGGAACACAAGAGTCAGCTGTGTTCCCGAGAAGGAATTGCATTGCAGTGCGTATTTTTAATTATTTTATAAGGTCAGGCATAAATCAGGCAGCAACAGGGGGGGAAGGAGGTGCGGTTAGTTGGGGGGGGGGGGGGGGCAAATATAGGACAACGAGGCACTCTCACTTGCCCACCAACTACTGGGCCCACCCTCCCGCCCCCCCCCCGCCCCCACTACTGCTCAAAGGCACAGGTAATGGATTACTCTCAACACAACATGACATTGTTCACATCTGGATACAATTCTTCAAAAGCAGTTGTTTAAGTCAGCTTATGGTCTGAAGGCTTGATGCGCGTGCCTTTTAAAATCATAATTTGGATTACTCTCAACACAACATGACATTGTTCACATCTGGATACAATTCTTCAAAAGCAGTTGTTTAAGTCAGCTTATGGTCTGAAGGCTTGATGCGCGTGCCTTTTAAAATCATAATTTGTATCGTGGCTTTTTGCAATACAGATTTTTATTTTACACAATTACAGACAACGCAAACATTTTTGCAACATTTCAACATTTTCATTTATTTGGTATAGCCCTGTGAGCCATTCGGCTCTTGAATCGGGTGCAACCGCAACAAACAAAAAAACAAAAACATGAACAAGAAAACATCTTAAAGTGATTAACGCAAACCCAATCAACACCATTGTCAGGGGGTCCCTTTGTTTTTGTTTGGATGATTACCCCCTTTTTTGAGTTTCGTTCAAAGATTTAGCACTGTCACTTTGTAAAATGCATTTCCAAGGTTACAACGTGTATGGACATGTCAACGTTTAACTTGCCATGAACGATGTGTGTGCTTTATTTTTTTGTTGCAAGAATCATGTTATATAATTAAAAAAAAATACAAGGGGATGCAGACATTGCTTCGGGCATTCATATATTTCGTCACATATATACAAGCGTAGAGTTAAAACATTGTGAGTAGTGGTTGTGAGAATTGCTGAAGTTTGTCAATACATTATTTAAGCAAGCATATTTATAAACACTCATCTCTTATAACCTCGTTTTTCATGAGCAATTGCATTCATATTTTCTGTTCTTTTTGTGGCCAAACAACATAATTCATGTAGACCATGAAGGAAAGTTTGATCTTTGGATATCTGTAGCAAATTATATTGATGTTTAATCAGCCTTAGCATGTTTTTGGTGCGCATTCGGATTTTCGTTTGCAAAACAGATTACATTTCGAGGAAGTGAAACCACACATGTACATTTGTATTGACTTCATATGGAAAAGATTACAGGCCTGGTGATTGAACATTGCACGAGAACAAGCCCATTTTAAGATGGAAGGGCGCGTCTCAGCACGAGCCCGTATTCTCCGAGAGCAGAGCGGTGTAAGAGGGGTTCAAACTCCTTTCCCTCCTGCCCACTTCGTTTTATTCCTTCCTGCTACAACAAAAACAAAGATCCCCGTTATAGCCAAAGTTCCGCACGAAGGGGGTGGGTGGCCAGCAGCCACGATCCGGACGTTACAACACGCTTCTTAACACATGTGCTCCATCAATTCCTAAAACGCTGCGTGTTTTTACCAGGGACAATAAATGATTAAGTGACTGAAAAATTATGGAGCTAATTAACTGAAAAATATTCATAGTCATCTAAAATTTGAAAATCTGCAAATAAAATCGCAGGAAATATTGGTTTTCAAAACCGAAAAAAACATGTTGGGGATGTTTAACAAAGTAGTTTTGCATATGATACTGCATGTCTATAGTAGGAATCTCTAGTTCGGCTGTGATAGTGGCACCAGGTATTGTGTGTAATGGATACAGGCATTCTCTTTTCTAACGTCACCTGCGGAATGAGCATAGTGATCGCCTTTACTCATGTGAATGTAATGAAACACAATTTAATGGGAAACAATTCCCATTAAAATACGATCATAAATTATTGCTTATAGACTTATTATAGGTTTGGCTAAATATCACAATGCAAAATCCTCCTAAAAATGTTTTGGCACTCAGTGATACTTTCCTGAATTAATAAATAAATTGCATTGTTACTTTGGCAGGAGTTGGTATGACACTGTGATGCCACTCTCCTATTGTTGAAAATTATCAGGTTTTTATAAGCAATGTACATTCAAGTGCTCTATGAAGAGTAATCTGAGAGGTCCATAAAGCATATCAATTTCATGAAATCGCACATCTGTAAAGATACCATGGTATGGTCTAGATAAGAGTAGGGCATTGTATGTTGGTGGTCAGAGGTTTTGGAATATTCCAAGAATTCCTTGTTATTGCTCAAATGCTCCTTTGCCACTTAATCAATGCTTTATTATGTTAAAATGCATAGGGCCTTCTTTGCACTGAAACTGACAGATATTCATTACGATTGTATGCAAAAAATAATATAAGCAGGTTATCAAGCAAATTGTGATAAGAGCAAATAAGCCAAGATATCAGCCACTAGACACTGCCATAAATGTCTTGTAAGCTATGAATCTTGCCATTTACTATAGTGCTAAAAAAGTATTTCTTTCACAGTTTGACGCATAGCATACATAACTTAAAATAAGTTGTAGAGAGGGTCCTTGGCTGTAACATCGGTAATTCACTACCAGTGTTTCAAGCAACCCTGACTGCTGATGAGACACTATGTTGAAACCAGTCCAGAGTTTTCTTGCATTTGCTGAAAAAAATATGCACTCCCAGAGGGCCATGCGGCTGACAGGTTGTGTAAGGAATACTTTTTTTATCTTTTGTGGAGGGACAGATATATGAAGGAAATATTGTCAGCATATTTATTAATTTTTTCATTGAACACAGAGTCTGGTTTACCAATAGACAACCACAAAAAGGAATGTGTTATTCGGTTAAAAAAAGAATTGCAATTACTTTTGGTGGAAAATGTACCATTCAGTGAGATTCGATTTTAGAAGCAAGTTGGAAGATTGGTGTACAGCTATTGCTATGCTTGTGAAAATAAATTCTTACATTTTATACTTGAAGTGGTTTAATTTGGCTGGTTGGTGCTGTGGTTAGCACACTTTACTCAGAATAGGAATGTTGTGTGCAATTCCATTTTGGGATACGTTTGGGGTTAACCAAGCCTATAATTCCTCTATGGTCAATACTATTTTGTACTACTTTGTGGGAAGTGAAGACTGGATATTTATTAGAGTGGCTCCATAGCTTCCAAATGTTACATTTCTACCACTGGCTCTATGCCCCCAACAGAGATGAGCGTCCTCCGATTTCTCAATTTAGCAGGGAGGCACTTTGTCTAGACTATACACGCATGAATAGTTTCAACTGCTTTAAATTAATACATTTTTACTGTTTCATTACATTGCCCAGGTGGAGCAGACACGAGAGCTGGAGTCTCGTGTCCAACAACTAAGTATCGAGGCGGAGAGGAATTCATCACTCGGACAGCGGCTAGGTCAAGAGAAGGCCCAACTGGAGGCACAGTGCAGTACGCTAAGCTCAGAGCTGGAATACAGCAAGAGCAGGTAGAGGTTACATCGGCACGGTAGTCCTAACCAACACCTTTCAATAGAATGTGTCTGCTTAGTAATTGCATAATATATTATAGTGGTACGTTTTAATTTAAGGAGATTGTTTGCTTGTGTGAGGAGCATTAAACACCCTGTGACCTAATTTCCAAGACTTGGCCATTTGTGTACACCATTGTCAGCCCAATTTCAAATGTTTATATGTCCTACAGTCAAACGGAAAAAATAGTAATATTGTCCGCGTTATTATGAAATTTCACTCATAAACACTCAGATAGATCACTGCGATTAGACTAATTCATTATTTTGGCTCTTACCTTCACTTCAAACATGAATTTTATCATCATCATAAGTGATGATTATCCACTGCTGGATGAAGGCCTCCCAGATCTATCACCATCTCTCATGGTCCCGTGAAATACACGAGCCGTTTTCATTGCTCCATCTCCGCAATGGACGATTTTTCAGGCACGTTCCTTCTTTTGGCTGCCACTCCATGTTTAGTCTCGACCACCAGCCACCATCCCTTCTAGCGGCTTATAAAGCGGTGACATGTTGTGAGTTTCGCTCGCAAGCGAGAAAATAATTCTGTGCACATTTCCACATAGTTAAATAATGGTAATGAACTCCTTTCACTGCCAGCAATCATCAGGTTTTATAAAAAAAAAAAACTACAGGCAATGATCCCATTCACAAGTGAACTGCATCCACTTCAGCAGAGAACCTACGCTGCTACTGTCTTGTTGCGGGCCAGATACGCAAGCTTGGAGCAGGAGAGCCAGAGGGCCCGGCTGGTACTGGAGGAGAAGTTGCAACAGTGCCGGGGGCGCCTGGAGGCGCAGCTAGAGTCGCTGAAGCAAGACAACGCTCGTGCAGCCTCCGAGGTGACAAAACACGGCATAAACCCTTCTTGAAGTAATCTGAAATTCGAGAGCATAGACACCTCCGAGGTGACTGCCTCTTATACAATAAAAAAAAACCTTGGGATTCATACAGCATACGGACATGACAGCACTGCGAGATGCTGTGGAAAAACGGTGGGCGTAGTTATTTTATAGAGAGAGGCAGTCAGGCATGTATATATATGAACATGCCCAGCCCTTCCTCGGTCCGTTGCTGGATGAGGGCCTCCTTATGCCGTATGGGTAGTTGGTGACAGAGCGCCTCGGTTGCCAGTAGTGGAGAGTGCATGGAGGGGTGTGGAGTGAGATGTAATGAGAGGTGGGCATGGGTAATTGTATGAAAAACGTAAGCGTATTCAACAAAATCATAGTTTACGTATTTTTTTCTTTCTTTCTCTAACATGCTGATCATTCAGGCACAATGGCCTATAGTGCAAAGCGGCCAGCGGCTAAGGATGCTAATGATAGCAGAGCAGATAAGAACGTGTAGATTATATTGGGCAAGGCTACAGAAACTTGGAAAAAGAGATGATGGGAGTAACAAATTGAAGTCGGTGCAAGCCAAAGAGGATGAAAACATGTTGAATTGTACAATATGGCTGTTGAACACAGTTGTTAAATATTACATTGCTATGGTGGGGGTCAGCCTTTCCATAAGATGACCGCTGTTTGACGTGCCACAAAGCGGTATTCATTTTATCAGCCACAGCAGAATGATAGCTAGTCTGAATCAACCACAGACCAGGATTTTAACTGTGAACCTTCTTCCAATTGGAAATCAAACACCCAAAGCACCGTGTCACCCGCTCTGAGAATCATAATGCACCACACTGTTTGATTCAGCGTTCCAAGGCTGTACCGCCAAGATGCATTTTATATTTGTAAACATTTTAGTGAAGACAAAAAAAGTTACCTGATTTTCAACACTGCCAGTCATTATTATTATTATTAACAAAAAGCTCTCCAATATACTAATTCAGACCACGTATAAGCATGCCCTTTTTGTGTGGTTAATTGAACGTTAATATGTTCAGCTGTCGACAGACTGCACATATGTGCCATTTTAGTAGCTACGCTTGAGCCTTTTATGTGATGTCGACAAACTTTTAATCCCATTTGGCGGCTTTCCTTTGTAAACACAGCATGTTTTTTATTCCATCACCTGCAACCGTGAAATTATTTTTTATTTTTAAAATATAAACCTGTTATACATGACCACTGGGCAGTCAATCTAATGAGTGTAATTGTAATATTTTTCAAGTCTTTCTCGGAATTATGATGTGCATCAAATACATGTAGTCAATGTCTAGCACATGTACACATATTTTATCATGTTGAATGGAAAGAACTCTAACACATTCACTACATGCTTTGTTTTCATGGTTAGCTCTTAAAAGCTAGGTAATAGCTAATGTGTTATTGGTTTATTGACTCATATATTGGGTCACAACATTCCTCGATGCTCAAAATGTCCATTTAATCAAATCAAAATTGGTTTGAAAGTATATTTTACAGGTATTTTGGTACCTATTTGGATGAATGTTCCACTCACAACCAGAATGAACATTTATATTTTCAAATATATGCATTTGTTAAACCACTGCTGGATGAAGAGCTCCGGAAGCTATCACCACCTCTCATGGTCTCGTGATGCACGTGAGCCACGTTGCTCGCAGAGGTTGATTTGACCGTATTTTGCCACACTGGTCGTTACAGGTTGATAAAGGGAAGCGATCTAGAACCAAATTATTTGGGTCTTTCGGTAAAGTCGCGGAGATAGGTTCAAAGAAAATGACAGAAAACTACGACGTTTCGATCGCAACGCAAGCGGTCGTCAACGCAACGCAAGCGGTCGTCAACGCAAGCGGTCGTCAACGCAAGCGGTCGTCAACGCAAGCGGTCGTCAACGCAACGCAAGCGGTCGTCAACGCAAGCGGTCGTCAACGCAACGCAAGCGGTCGTCAACGCAAGCGGTCGTCAACGCAGCGCAAGCGGTCGTCAACGCAGTGCAAGCTGTCGTCAACGCAAGCGGTCGTCAACGCAAGCGGTCGTCAACGCAAGCGGTCGTCAACGCAAGCGGTCGTCAACGCAACGCAAGCGGTCGTCAACGCAAGCGGTCGTCAACGCAGTGCAAGCGGTCGTCAACGCAAGCGGTCGTCAACGCAACGCAAGCGGTCGTCAACGCAAGCGGTCGTCAACGCAACGCAAGCGGACGTCAACGCAAGCGGTCGTCAACGCAGCGCAAGCGGTCGTCAACGCAACGCGAGCGGTCGTCAACGCAAGCGGTCGTCAACGCAACGCAAGCGGACGTCAACGCAAGCGGTCGTCAACGCAGCGCAAGCGGTCGTCAACGCAACGCAAGCGGTCGTCAACGCAAGCGGTCGTCAACGCAACGCGAGCGGTCGTCAACGCAAGCGGTCGTCAACGCAGCGCAAGCGGTCATCAACGCAACGCAAGCGGTCGTCAACGCAAGCGGTCGTCAACGCAGCACAAGCGGTTGTCAACGCAAGCGGTCGTCAACGCAGCGCAAGCGGTCGTCAACGCAAGCGGTCGTCAACGCAACGCGAGCGGTCGTCAGCGCAAGCGGTCGTCAACGCAACGCAAGCGGTCGTCAACGCAAGCGGTCGTCAACGCAGCGCAAGCGGTCGTCAACGCAAGCGGTCGTCAACGCAACGCGAGCGGTCGTCAACGCAAGCGGTCGTCAACGCAACGCAAGCGGACGTCAACGCAAGCGGTCGTCAACGCAGCGCAAGCGGTCGTCAACGCAGTGCAAGCGGTCGTCAACGCAAGCGGTCGTCAACGCAAGCGGTCGTCAACGCAAGCGGTCGTCAACGCAAGCGGTCGTCAACGCAAGCGGTCGTCAACGCAACGCAAGCGGTCGTCAACGCAGCGCAAGCGGTCGTCAACGCAAGCGGTCGTCAACGCAGCGCAAGCGGTCATCAACGCAACGCAAGCGGTCGTCAACGCAAGCGGTCGTCAACGCAACGCGAGCGGTCGTCAACGCAAGCGGTCGTCAACGCGAGCGGTCGTCAACGCAGCGCAAGCGGTCGTCAATGACCGCTTGCGTTGCGATCGAAACGTCGTAGTTTTCTATTATTATTCTTGGAACCTATCGACGTGACTTTACCGAAAGACCAAAAGAATATTATTAATTCCTGCAGTCACGAAAGCTTTAAGTCAAGATCTAGAACCAATTTAGATATCACTTGCCACTAATATTAGCCATGGCTGAGAATTGAACTCGGGTCACGTGGTTCAGAGTGCAGTCCACTAACCACTGCACCGCCATTCCCATTGATTTTTTTTATACTCCTTATACATCTGAACTGTATTATATTGTATATAAATAATCTGGTTGTGGTGTGGTTAGAGCACCCAGCTCTCCATTGTGAGGTTGTGAGTTGAAATTTCGGTCAGAGATCAAGTAGTCCACTTGGTCTATTATACTGGTAGGAACCTCCTGGTTCCACCAGCCCACAGTCACATAGTCACTTGAAGATGTTTTCTTGTTCTTGTTCGTGTTTTTTGTTTGTTGTGGTTGCACCCGATTCAAGAGCCGAATGGCTCACAGGGCTATACCAAAATAAACTGAAACAGGGGATTATTGTGTCCGTCCGTCCGTCGTGCATCCAAAAATGGGACTGGTGGGGCTGGGTGGAGAGGGGAGGGTGGGGCTGGGTGGGGAGGGAGGGGCTGGGTGGGGAGGGGAGGGTGGGGCTGGGTGGGGAGGGTGGGGATGGGCTGGGTGGGGAGGGTGGGGAGGGGCTGGGTGGGGCTGGGTGGGAGGGGTGGGGCTGGGTGGGGAGGGGCTGGTCACCCCGTGGTGCCCTTATAAAACTGAACATTTAACCTACTCACGCCGGCTTGTGCCCGCCCTCACAGTCGGGAATATTTGCGGAATACACCACGTGGTGCCGTTGACCCTGGCCATTGACCGAGCAACCAAACGTTCCTACCAGCTCCCTCCACACGAATGTGTTTCCTCAAGTGTTTATACAATACATACCAGTTTTATGGGAATTCACCAGAGGTGATCTCCAATGGGAATGTAGAATTTTCACGGTTGGTTTAGGACCGGCGACAGGGATGAGAGCCCTAATGCTCTTTTGAGGAGGCATAGACTGTGACTTGGATGTTGTTGCAGATCCTAGGTGAACTATTGTTTTGTGTGAATGCGGGACCATTCGTAGGCAACCGCTGTCATTGAAGGCCTCGAGAAGGAAGTGTCGGAGCACAAGGGATCGCTCAGGGAAACCGAGCTGCAGAAACATAGACAGCTCAGGGTAAGAGCTACTCACATGACCAAGGTCACTTGTAACATGAGCACACATTGCCAAACGTGAACTTATAAGCGCTTTCAGCGTGTCTCGTCGTGTTTTACTTTTACACATCCATCACAAAATCGACTCAATCCTGTGTTTGTTTTCTTGGTGCTCCCAACTCTTCCAAACCCTCTGCTTCGTTTTGGAAGAGTGTCCTGCTTGCCTGTCAAAAATAAAAGAGGCCCCCAGGCACGCGTTTTGTCATTTGGTGCGGTGTCACCCCTGCCTGCTTGTTCACGAACTTTGATGAGCGATTGGCGACCGGTGTCGTCCAGCCGTTCAGCCGTATTGGTCTGTCGTAGACGACATGGGCCATAGGAGGGGTGCCAACTTGTGACGGCCGCTATTGACAGCTGCAGAAGTAGCGCGAATCCCTAAATGCGGCCGGCAATGACGGACACCGAGGAATGCGTCGCGAAAACCTCCAGGAGAAAAGCGCCGCGTAGTATGCGAGGCATTCGGGCTGCAATCTACAACGCCGTGTTCGATGAAATGAATGCATTTATTTATTTCCGTTTAGCACAGAAGAGGCTCGGTGTGTAAGCATGTCCCAGTAGCGCGCTAATATTAAGGGCACCCTGCTGACATGTATAAGCCACCTCCAGCATCTAACATGCGTTTTGAAACCCATCCGGGCAGCCGCTGATAGAAACCCACAGAACGGTCGACATTCTTTGGGGTAAAACTCCGTGGATATTTTTTTTTTAAACGCAGCAATCATGGCACACATTTTTTAAAATCTCAGTTTGCAAATTACTTCTTCAACTGTAAGTCAGTGGCACCTAAAAAACTAAAATTAACAAATATATTTAAGAGGTATTGGTTCTGTGGATGTTTTTTAGTCAATGCCGTTGACGTTAGTCTGCATAACGTAGAACACACAGTAGGTGACAGCATTAGTCTCTGGAGATTGCAATGTGTAGGTAGTCTTTGTCACTGGCATGCATAAAACCACTTGTGTTCAGATTTAATTCTTAAACTGTTTCAAGTTTATGATATTTATGAGATAGTTTGCCATTTGAGGAATGAGACCACGTTTGAGAAATTATGCTCTTGTACTCTCTTTTCAGACATTTCTATCAAGGGGTTTTCTCTGTCTCGTGCTTTTAATGCAAATGCAATGTCCAGCAACAACTACCTCTTGCACATAATATTGTAGACTTAAATAGAACCTGATAGTGTTGTGGCTAGCGCACTTGTCTCGCAATCAAAGGTTGTTGAGTTAAAATCCTAGCTTGAGGTTGACTCACCCAATCTCTCTCTAGGGTCAATTATATGAGAACCCGAAATATTGAATTTATTTTAACACACTGCCGTAGCAAAGTGGAGAATTTACCATTTGCTTAGTGCTGTAAACAAGATGAGTGCCTACGCCATCCTCGTGTGAGCAGGAAATTACTTTGATTTTGTATAATTTTAATACATTGATGGTCGGGCTTGAAAGGTAGTGCAGTGGTTCAAGAATTATGCTACACACCCGGTGACCTGAGTTCTGTTTATAGCTACTGCTAACATCAAGTATTGAGTGATATCAAAACTAGCCTTGGCCCCTGTCCTTCAGCAATTCACAGCGACTCTGTGTGGTGAAATATGGCCAACAACCCTAATGATCGACATGGCATAGGGAAGCCTTCATCCAGTCGTGGATTGTCAGAAACTTTTTACTTTTGACCATACACTGGTTGATAATGTACAGACTAGCTTTAAAGACACCTCCCCCTATTCATTGTCAAACAAATAGAAAACATTTTCCCCTATCGCACTAACTGATTAACTCAATTCAGTGTGCAGTGCTAGTTTTGGCTCTCCCTTGGTCATAGTCTCGTCAAACATGATTCCTGAGACAAATAAGTTTTCAGCTGTCTGCCCTGGAGAGCTTTAAAAGAAACAAAATATACAAGGGCAAGAAAAAATGAGTTGGTGAGACTTCGTGCGGTCCAACGGTGTCATTTTACAAATCAAGCCTACTGAGGGCCATTAGCATCGTTGTGTCATGGGGTTCATTGAAGGCTCGCTGTCTCCTCTGTGCGCGCATCAGCAATCCCTGTTGTGTCTGTCCTAATCATTGTGGCAGTGCGGTGCTATTTTAGACACTCACCCCAGAGTGACAGAATTCAGCTGCATGGACCGCATTGCCTTGCCTCAGGTCACCGAATAGCATCCGTCTTGCCTGCCTCGAAAAAACAGGCGTCGCTGTGTGGTTTTTTATAAAAAAAAAATGATGCATCTTACATACATTGTTCTGACAGTTGTGTTGTGAAAAAAAATTCTTGGCATAATTTCACATTTTGCTGATTTTAACCATGTAAAATGGTCTAATTTTGTAGCTATTGTGCTTGTGGTTTATTGGGATTTCAGGTGCAATATCCAGTTTGGTCAAATACTCGATATGATTTGATTATCAGGCTATTCATATGAAAAGCAATAATATACATTTACCTAAAGTCGGTATAAAACTGGCACCGCCTGTGAAAAGAGTTACTGTTAATTATGTAAACAAAAAATGACTCTTGAGAACAATGGAGATATATATGTAAAAACAACACGTAACATGATAGAACGGTGACTAAATCCTGTGCCGTTCTGACAATCGCTTCATTTTTATATGAAGCATTTTTATTGATTAACATCACATACTAGGTTACACTTGGGGATCAATTTGTGTCAATGTAGAGAGTAAATGTATTGCCTGTCGTGCCTACTTTGTCTTTTATGTGTTTTGTTTTGTCCAAGGAGCAAGAAAATCAATTCAAACAACAAATTATTGAGTTGGAACAGCTCAGTGATAAAAAGGTGCGTTCCCAACAATTTATCCAAGTAGATAGAAATCGTTCTTATTTTTGCGTCTTACTTTTCTGCCTTACATTTCCAGTATCTCCAGTACCTTCCCCAATTAATGTATGCATGCTTATCTCTAAATAATAAAACCCTTTTCAGAGATTTTAAACGAGAAAAAAATGTTTTCCATTCAACATTTTCTCAATTGATTCAAATTTACAAATGGAGTGGCGGCACAGTGATTAGACCACATCACCACCATCACATTTAGAACCATAAACATTGACCTTGTAGTCGGGAAACTTACCACTATGACAACCTTTATCAACCGTTACTAATGCAACCACCACCACCACCACGTAATAATCTCCATTATTAGCATAGGCGGTGGTGGGCTTGCAAAGGTCACTCTGGGATCATGTGCATGAGACAGACAGCCTGGCAACCAGAGATCTTGGCCGTGGCCATCATCGAGTAATATCTGAACCAATCCTTGAATCCTTCCCCCTACACCGAACGGCACTGACCAGCTTGGTGCAGTATGGCCAAACAACTCCCACGACTGACATGGAATGTCTGTGCTTCCTGGGGTACACCTTTAGGCAACAGCCGGCCGTATTCTGGATAGAGATTAAAATAAACGAATCTGATGAAGCACCTTTATATCGATTCAGCAAGGTCTACTTTAAAAGTACATTTCTTGGAAACTTTTGACATACCTTACGGCTTCAAAAAAAGAGGCCCCAATCTGCATTCACCCATCGATTTGAAAAGGCGGTTTGTGTAAGAGAAGCTCGCGGTAATTGGGAGTAGCGTGTGTGTCTGCGGGCTGAGAGATGCAGATTGAATCTACTGGTTTTTTTCTCCCAGATACGATCCGTGCAAACCGAGTTGGAAGAAACCAAGGCTGAAGCGCAGAGAAAAATACGGCAGATGGAAGATGGAATCAGGTGCCGCCCCCCCCCCCCCCCCCAGCCAATTCCTGATATTATTGCTAGCTTGCTTACATGCTCTTTATTTATTTATACGTTTATCAATTTATTTGTTGATTTTTTTTAGGTGTATGTTCACTTGCACATCTTTATATATTTGAAGAGGTTGAACGTGACCCCCTCTGCGTGTTCATTAACTTTTAGCAGAAAAATATACATTAGGCTTACGTTTCCGCACTGGCACTTCTTAAAGGCATCGAAATATGACAAACTCTGAACCTGATACACACTCTGAACCTTATATGGGGTACGATGTTCAATGCAGTACTTACATATCTTAAAGTCATGGTGTAATTGCAACAGCTGATCTTAAAGTAAATTAATTTCGTGTTGAAAATAGTTACGGATCAGTTAGAATGTGAATTTTTTAATGTAAAATGTCATAACAGTGACCGTGTTGCAATGCAAATATCCATTTGGAATATTTGGTATACTTACTATGAATGTAAATCAACGAAGCTTTCGGCAGTAAGTCAATCTATCAGCCATATAATGGCCCTGGGTGAGGTAATTATATCTGCTGTTGTGTTGCTTAGCACTTGAAAAATTTCACCGTGGTATGCCCAGAGGCAAATATTTGGGGGAATTGATGTGCTATGCCAATTAGATGTTAATCTGTGAGCTATTGTACTGTGAGACATTTAATAAAGAGGGGGGAGCAGTTGCATAGTGGTTAGCATCCTGCACTGTGAACCCTTCAACCTAAGTTTGGTTCTCAGCCGTGGCTAACATCAGCTTCGAGTGATATCCACTTAACCGATCCTTTGACTCATCCTTCATCGATCCACACTGACCATTCGTGATGGACTGGACTCGTAAGGGCACGTGCTAATTAATGTGCAGACTCACTGGCATGCAGCAGTATGGTCAAGCACCACTCTGTGTATGGACATGTAGTGGGGAGGCCTTTAGCAGTGGATTGACAGAGGGTTGTTAACTATTAATATTATGATATAGGCTGGAGATTTTAATTTTTTTGAGCAGTCCTCTTTTTCCCAACATAAATCTTGCACATTCACGTGGTTTTGTCAATGCATCTTGTTATGAGCTGAGTGTTGATTACATTTAAAATTATATTTGTGCCTTTTAAAAACCTTTCCACGCCTTCAATTTTGGCATCGCTCTGTGTAGCCACTGCACTTTAATTGCATAAAAAAAACTTTTAAATTGAAGGCTCATGTATGAAAAAGATTTAAGAAATTAATATGAAAACTAAGTTGAAATTAAGAGTGATTTATTTTATAGCAATTTAGATGCATCGGATCCATGTCTGTTTAATTGTGGTGTTTATTACCTCAAGGTAACTTGGCGGATTACTTATTAAAAGTGACTTCCCTTATTTGGATGGAAACCTAGGGCAGTGTTTGTGAATGCACAGTGGATTACTCTTGTGAACGATTTTACAGGGCCTTTAGCCTCCGCTGAGTAACAAATTCTGCATGTGTGCGCTGTGGTTAGAGTGCTAGACTCGCCATCAGAAATTTCTGAATCAAGTCAGCGGTCCTGGAGTTGATAAATTCATGATACTTTGTGGAAAGGTCAAAAGGTATTGTCCTGTTTAGTAACTAGGAATGTAGAATTTCCACCACTGGCTGCAGGGTTGCCCATGGTATTAAATGATCCCTTAATGTTCTTTGAATAAAGAGACTGTTTTACTTGACTTTGAAATGCACCATCAACTATAATCCAGCCTTCCCAAACCTGTCACCATCTTTCATGGTTTTGCAATAAAACCATTTATTTTATCGGCCATAAATACAGAAGTGAGGGTAGTTGGTGGTTTCATAAATTATTAAGATGCCGGCATTTGGCCGCAGAGATGGATGCTTGGAATTTCATGACAAGACAGGATGAGCGATGGAGAATTCTAAAATATAACATGGCAGATACGTTTCGTAGATATGATGAGGCAAAAATGGTCATGCTGTGTGGGTTGTGTGTAGGACAGGGGAGGGTCGATTGCCTACACAGACATTAGAATGGTCAGCATATATCCAGTGACCATGGGGGAAGACTTAGGACCAGATGGTGGGAGACTGTTCCGGCAGATCTTGGAAGTCACGTGTCTCCTGTACAGCAGCTGCGCATTCTGGCAAAGCCCAGAAAGTGTTGGCATGGCACGGTGGCATTAATGGCTTTGGCCATGATTACATTTTGATTTTGATAGAACAACAACAATATCAATCAACAGTTGGAATCTTCCCACTGAATTGTCACATTGTGCCAGCTCATTTGTAAGCACAATAACCACCAGGCTTATGCAGCTGCCCATAAGGACATTGTAAACCTTTTACAGGTCATAACTGTTGCTGTGGATGCTGTGCTACTTTTGTGGGAGACAGAGAGAAGGAGGAACGCCACACCAGGGCCTTAGAGGCGGAGAGGGCTCATGCCCAGCGAGCAGAGGCTGCCCTGGATGACTTCAAAAAGCAGGTGGAGCTCAACGCAGAGAAGATATATGGCGAGATGCGACATCAGGTGGACACACCCTCACGCTGCTACCTCACAGAGCTTTTGACATCCCCATATTTTGTCACCCAAAATTTGTATTTAGACTGCAGGGGTAATCTGATGAGCTACGAAGCTCTTTTTCACAGATGTCCAGTAGGTGGAGGGGGGGTCAGAAAGTTACAGAAACATTCCTTGAAAGCTACTGTTGAGATGTATTTTTTTACTGTTTATTGTTTATTTGTTACATAGTCAATGATGATGTATGATAAACAGTCTTGGGTCTCCCAAGACCAGTCCTAAGCCTCGAGACCGGCTGGCGGAACTTTTTTTAGATCGTGACATTAATGTCGGCTTCTGGGTTCTGGCCGTGAGTATCCTCCATCCAAGAACGTTTAGGTTATGGGTGTTTCAAATTGGTCTTGTGTACCTAAGTTTGAAAGTGTTAATGTATTAGCCCTGTCCATATGCCTGTCTGTCCATAGGAGGAGATCACAATAACATGTAAGATTAATAAATATGAACAAAATGATACGAAACTTTTTTGTGTTATTCGGGACTCACCATAGAGAAAACTGGTCAAATTTATTAAAAGGTTGCCCAAAATTTTGGGGATTTAAAACAGTGTTTAAAGGACAACCCTTGTCGGCAAGGCGATAGCCTCACATGTTCGATGCGAAAGAAGTTCAACATACATGCATACGTCATAAATTGGACTCCACTCCCGATGATGTTGTTGTCATCATCCTGTGAGGTCATACGTCATGACCGACCTTGACGCTGACCTCCACATCATGGGCTCCCAGCCTTGGCCTCGGCCTCGGGCTCGTAAGCCACGCCCTTGAATTGAAGGCTGATCATTCATCTTGTATTACGACTACTACTAAACATATTCTAAGCTCTTTCGGTAAAGTCACGTTGAAGGGAAACAATAAAATAACATGACTTTACCGAAAGAGCTAAGAATGTGAATTACTGCAGTCACGAAAGCTTTAAATCAAAATACTACTAAACATGTACACATCACGCTAGTTCTGGGGCTATTGCGTTTACTTTCAGTGAAAGGACACTTCAGTTTTCAAATTTCATTATTATTGTACTTCCTGTTGTTTGAGTGCAATAAAATAACAGTACCTGTTATTGTCTGCATGCAGGTGATCCCCATTTATGTATGGTGACCTGTATAGGCATGCATTTAAACAATTATTTGAAGATTCACTTCTAATCCTGTTCACGTTCAATGAAATCGCCTGCATGCATATCGCAATGAACTCATCACACAGCGCAATCCATCCCGAGCACTGCAATCAACTTGCTCGCACAGTGAGAGGCTCCCCATTTCACCCAACCTGCGCTGACCAGCGTGTTGAAGTATGCTCATGACCGACACAACTTGGGGGGAGCCCTTCATCCAGCAGTGACATTTGCATAGAGCTGAGAGAGTCTGTTTGATTTAAACACCCTACATGTTGATAATTGTCCAAATATAGTGAATATTGTTCCATATCAGCATTCATAGATGTTTGATGAATTCTGATGTGCAGAGCCATTGCCCACAATGTTATGTTGAAGTAATTTTTTTTCTATGTTTTAATGCAGTGTAAGTAGTGAAGTTATCGATGTTTTTATTTTTGTCCATCCAAGTTGTACTTTTGTTTCCGTTTCCAATTTAAATATAATATCAAGGAGGGCAATGGACAAGTTTACAAATAACTCAATGTCAAAGACAGAGCTTTGTTAAAAATAGTGCCTGATTTAATGACAGAATCCTAATGTAAATAAAGCCATGCATTTCTCTTCACCCGACGGTTGTAAATATAGGCAGGAACAATGTTAAATTTAGGCCATTGTGAAACACTGCGCCTATATTTAACGGTTTACTCCAAAATGGCACCGTTAAATATGTATGTGCTTTATGTATTCTCCATGTGTGCATGCAGTTAACAATGTTATTTGTTGCACTATGGCCATTGTTACATAGACATTTGTAAACCAGATCACAAAAACTTACAATTATATTGTTAAGGAAAAATACTTGCGTACACATTTTCCAGGCCTCCTTTGCAAAAGAGAATATCAATCAGGCTCTCGCGTGCTTAAATAAAGAACATTTATACAGCGCATACACACATTGAAAAAAAAACACTTTTATAAGGCCAAGGGGGTGCTATGAAAGAGTATTTCATACTTGGACAATAAGAATGGTTTAACTTCAAGTAATGGTTGGGGTCACCCTGATCCATCATCCCTCCAATGTTGATAAAAATAAGTACCACTTTGTGGAATGTCAACATCGTTTGCCCAGTGGAGATACTGGTCCTTGACTTTGGACTGTGGAATTTCCCACAGTTCACGGCCGCCAATGGAGGATGAACTTTGCTCTGTTCTTGTCCAAGCAGGTTAGATTTCCTTTGATTTGACTTTACAGTTTTTTTAACGAAGATAACATTTATCTAATTCAGTTTTTTCCGCACCGTATATATGTTTTTATACAAGCCACAAGGAGATGACTTTCTTTCCCAAATCGCGCACTGTCAAAAGAAAGCTCGGTTGGAACGCTGAGACGGGGTGCAGAGCGGGTTACGCTCATCAGCTACGGGCTGTTAATTTTATTCTTTGCACAGCTTACATTTACTCGCCAGTTCATAAATGCAAGGTTATGTCTGGCAGCACAAATTATCGTTCAACCCTTTGCATTCATTGGCGTTTTTGCAACCCAGCATACCAGCGGCTTTCTTCAAAGGGCAGTACCTTTTTAATGCTGTGCCATGTGTAAAAACCGTTTAATATTTGTCCTTGTCATAAGTGCACGGTAACAGTTGACAAGGCCACAGTTACGTTTTTTTGTGGGGTTTCCATACGAATCTGGATCATGTCTCTAGTCAGCGTTCAGCCTTTGTTTCTGAAAATAATTGGCAAACGCAGGGCTCCATCAATAGTGCAACTATTCATAGCCAGACCCGAATGAGGTGAAGGTCAGAAGCTGCCTCTTACTTTCCACAAATTAAATTTTCGCAAAAGGAACATGAGAGAGCTTGTCTTTAAATGCAGCACGGTTTTCTTGTTGTTTTGTTTTAAAGACACGTAACAAATCTACACTCGTGGGCCCCCCACGCACCATTTTAACTCGACTCTTGGGTCACGTCGCTTTTATTGGCACAATCATGTAACATCCAGACAGGTGCTGTTTGAAGCCAACAAACTTTTCTACGTTATATGGCTCCTTGTGCAGTCGGCGAGTGTCATATACTGTAATAAGCAATGCGCACCTGCACGGGTGTGTTTGATTGTTCCGCGCCTCTGTTTGCTAGATGTCGAGAACAGGTAGTCAAATTTGGGGCAGACTAGCACCTCCGTTTTGCATGGTTGGTTACGTATGGTGCGAAAGAAGTTCAACAAGATACATATATATGTTACCATGTAGGCTTTCGCGACCAATATTATCCATAATAAAGGTTTTTGGGTTAGATTGTGTAAATATAAATGGTTCGTTAACCCACCGCCACCAGACACAGCCAATTGCTAAGGTTTGTCACGTAAACAAAACATGCCGATTAGTTTGCTACTCAGCACACTGGTATGTTGGAGAGGAAACCCACAACATTTACAATTTAAGTATGACATTTAAGACCGAAACAGGAAGACTTCTTCACAATTCTGGCTGGTTGTAATAACCAGCGAAACGTTGTACTCAAATTGTAAATGTCGGTTTTCTCTCCAACATATCGGTTTGCTGAAGTAGCAACTAATTGGCAAGTTTTGTTTACGTGACAAACCTTCGTAATTGGCTGTGTGGTGGTGGCGGCGGATTAACGACACTCTTACGTGATCTAACTAAAAAAAAACGTTATTACAGACATACATACGTGAGTACCATTCACCAGGCCCTTTGCACTGACGTGGGTCATCTAGGTGAAACAAGATTCAAGTCTATATTATTTTGCATATTTATTTAAAGCTTGAAGTGCCGTAATGTCAAATATGACTCGTAATACTGTAATTTGTGTAAAGCATTTGCTGATGTTTTCAGTGTGTCACCATGTGCTTTGTAACTTTAAATGTCTTCTGGTGTTTGCACCGTCATTTTTTTAAAAATATTCTAACAGCAATGACATTAAGCAGATATTAATATTCTAACAGCGGTGATATGAAGCAGATACTGTATATATTCAGATATGAAGTGGCCAATATCAGCTTTTACAGTTAAAGGAACAATTTCATGCTTGTATCGCAATTTAGTGAGACACTGCAGATGCAGGAGTCGCTTTTAAGGCACGCCAAGAATATTAAAAACAAGAACTTCCACATGTTTCGAGTTTACAGCTTTGCTTTCTTGTAACTTTGACATGTTTATTCAAAGGACCCGCTTTTTTGAAGTTTCCTTTATTATGCAACACTTTAAAGAATTTCTTTATAGAGCATATGTTTTATGACTGAATGGCTTCCTTTGCTAAATTGCCTGACATTGGCTACATAAAAGCGGAATAAAGGTGAAGGGTTTGGATGTGTCACCTGCAAAGAATCAAACTCTGTGAATGTTTAACCTATTCCCACTGAAAACAAATCAGCCCTCCTAGAAAATGGTACAAAATCGGAATCAGAATCTTTCTTTATTCTGGAGGAATCGGATGAGCTATGCAGCTCTTTTTCACAGATGTCCAGTAGGAGTGGGTTCCAGAAAGTTACAATAAGCGTAAGGAGTCAAAGTCGGGAAAAGGTAAAAATTAAGAGTGTAAGCACAAATCGTATAAGCATATATATTCCTGCCGATTTTTCAATGCTAAATGTAAGCTTGATCAAGGCAATAAAACAACAACAACAGCAATAACAGTCCTAGACACATAGACACAACACACAGTTCGTCAATAAAAATTGCACATTAAACTTGAACTATCGAAGAAAAAAATATATCCGTATAGCATGTTGCTGAAGTTCAGTGTTTATGTACATCAAGCACATTGCAGAAACAGTCAACATTTTTTTCATACCTAATATATAACAAGCGAAGTATTCAGGCAATGGCTCTTTTTCTTAAAAGCACAGATGGATTGAGCGCAGATATGTGTAACTTTGACACGTTAATGGAGAAAATTTGGACTGTTCCTCATCTGTGCAGAATGCCGTGAGTTTAAATCCAGTCACAGAATCTTCACAGAAGCCATATGACTCAAGATATGTTTTCGTTTATTGGGTATTGCTGGTTTACGAGAATTCAGGTTATGTATTTTCAAACTGCATTGTGCTTCTTTCAGTATCGACATGCATATTGCTTTTTTGTGTTTAGTTTGTTGTCCTTCCCCTGCACCTCCGATTAGCATGGTTGGCTACGTACAGTGCGACCGAAGTTAAACATACATACATATTAAAGCGGTTATGGTGCAGTTGATAGCACCTGTTAAATTAAACATTAAACATACAATATTGTGTCACCTAGACGGACAACACAATGGCAGAGCGCTAGCCTCACAATCGCACGTGAAGGGGTAACACTCAAAGCACCGCACAGACAGATTCATTAAGCTGCTTCTCCTGGCTCCCTTGTGAAGCCCAAGGTTGCAATGCCAGATTTTTTCCCCCAATCTATCCCAAGTACTATTGAGGCTTAACCCTGCTCAGCTGCCAAGATCTGACGAGGTCGGATGGATTCAGTGTGTGTTTGCCACGGGAATATTTGGTCTTCCATAATATAGCGGCACGCAGGGTTGCACGGGTGAGGTGGCAGCCGCAGCAGACAGCTCTGTATGCGTGGACAAACTGTCCCGGGCAAATGCATTGCAGCCACACCAGGCATTGGGGTCATTTTATCGACCATTAGGATGTCCTTGTATGGAAAATTATTGGCGGTGGTAATGAAAATCAGGATTTCATGAGACGATATGTGTGAAGTTGTATATTTTGCATTTCTGCAGCCACCACGGCTGCTTAATGTCAACGAAAAAGTTAAACAAATAACAAAAAGTGTGTTTTTTTGGTTGCTTCCCGTAACTGAATGTTGCAATTTAAAGAGTCTGATGTCATAATCATAAGTGACTACTTTGTATGCTGTGGTTGTACCCAATGTTATCCTGTCCTTTAGACTTCTTAGTGAAGTTATCGCTTCAGTGCTTACTTTTAATAGCCTTAGTGTGAAAAGGGGGAGGCACAGTTGGAAGCTTTCCTTTCACTAGACTGAATCCTGAAATTGCTCTATAATATAAACTGCATCTGCCGTTGCACAATTGATTATATATTTCACTCATGTCGTTTTCCCAGCCCATTTTTGTCATTTACAGATTTAAAATATAATAAAGTTTTCTTCTTTAGAGATATTTGAGCCTAATGTCCATCTTGTTGAAAGGCCTTTTAAGTTTTCTGAAAGGCCCTTGGCATGTGCCTCCGTTCTCACACTAAATCAGGCACAAATATGCTTTTTTTTCAAAACTTGGAATAAGGCCTGGTGTTTTTAAACATATTTCTGGTTTTATTTACACGATAGGGCAAATAACCAGCAAATACGCATTTGCAAAGATAGGAAAAATATCAAAGGCACCGTTAAGGTCACTGTGAATAGCGGTTGGCCGAAGCTTGTCACCTTGCCTGTCTCCCCTTTGTTCTTATAATCTTAGTGTGGCACACGGCTCACATAAGTTTAACTTGCGTTATTTTGGTTCCAGACTACGTGAAATACTGTTGTGTGTTCACAACATCTTACTCAGTGGGTTGATTGTAACCCAAACTAATGTTCCCCTCGAGTGTCATTTATCGTGTGCCTTACAACGCTGGAGAGAACAGGCGCTGTGCTCTTAGTAGTGTGAGCATGTTGTGAGGACCTTCGTACGTAGCCAACTGTGCTAATCGGAGGTGCAGGGGAAGGACAAGTTCAACTTTATGTATGTCGTATATTACGTGTGTGTGTACATTTTTTCCACAAACTTCGCTGTTTAATCCATAATAGCTGTTTAAATATATGTTTGTAAATATGATGGAAATACCGATAACGATAATTGTTACGTGGGGTGGTGGAGCGAGTTTGCGCAGTGATGAGTGCACCACTCGGCGGTCCTGGGAGTCTGAATTTGATTCCTGGTCACGGCTCACATTGGTAGTGAGAGATACCTGAGCTGGTCCTGGCCACCGCCATTGACGAACTTACACTGATGTGCATGGTGGAGTATGGTAAAACAACCCCAGTGACCGATATGGCATCGAGAGGCCTTCTCCCAACAGTGAATTTAAATGAATGATCTTATAATTAGCAGATTTTTTATATATTTTTCAGGAAATTTCCACTGAATTTTCAAGATTTTTTTTCCTTAGGATGGTCCTACTTGGGATGTTTGGCCCCACTCATTTATCGAGTACGTTTCCATTCGGGTGCGGACACTGGAGAGTGTGCTCAAAAACATCGGACGTGCGAGTGAGAGGGGACAGCACTCGTGACACTGGCCCTGCCTATCTGCTCATGCCATCACCCACGCAGATGACGAAGGTGGAGAGCGACTTGTCCCGCTCTAAGTCACTGCGGGAGAAGCAGGCGAAGGAGTTCACGAGACAGCAGGAGCAGTTGCGGCAGCGTTACGAGCAGCAGGTACCCAGCACCCCAGGGTAGTGAGGGCAGAGTGCCGGCGGTTCCCACGGGGCTACCGCTCACGTCACCGTGCTCGCCCATTGTTGCATTAACCGCCGTTGGCGGCTGGTTCAGGCTGGAGAGAGGCGGCAAGAGTTATCCAGCGAGTCCCATGATCGGCACCGTCTTGTTTCTGAATTGCTTTGTTGCGTTTGTTGAACGTATTTCGCGCAGCACGTAGCCAACCGCATTAATCAGAGCTGTGAAACATTTAAATGTTGGATGTAATACAGTCAAAAGTTTTAAAAGGCAATAGTTTGCTGTGTTGAAATAAGTGTGAGGTGGTGCTTTTCTCCATCGGCAGTTCTGAGTGTTTGGTGGAATTACGCATTTCTACGGCAGGGGTTATGCTATGTTTAGTAATACTCCTGTTATGTGAATTTATACAACATAAATACGGTAAGGAAGTAGTACTCCATTGTTTGGCAAGTATTGCAGAGGATTCCTTGGAGGGGACATCTGGTGTCAGCAGCCACTGTAATTTCAGCTCCAATCGCACATATTAAAGCTGTTTCAGTTAAAAGCTCGTAGCTAACACCTCCGATTAGCATAGTTGGCTACGTATTGTGCAATATAAATTCAAGATATATACACAACATAAGCCTTTACTTGAGACTGAATCTAAATATGAACACACGTGCTGGATCAGTGAGGGCCTCTCCATGCCGTGCAGGTCGTGGGGGCCTATTTGACCACATGTCTCCACCACACTGGTAAGTGTGGGTTAGTAATGTTGGGGAGCATAGGTGTGGGAGCCTGGAAATACAGTACAGCAATGAATGGGCACTACATTGCCTTCTGCTACCCACCACCTAATCCCTTAGCCAATACTATTGGTTGTCCACGATGTTCATCTGTCCCAGCCCTCTCCAGGGTCGGGTCAAGTTCAAGTGTATTTATTTAACTTGGAGAGAACTCAAGAGACCAGGATAGTCTCATTTGCAAGAGTTACCCAGTTTATCAAAATTACAAAAGCAAAACAAGGAAGCAAATAGAAATCAGCACAAAAAACAACTGTCACATGAAAATTTTAAAACATTACACAAACACGATTCATTGTTAAACTACGCATTCCCTGCAGTGCAAGTTGGCTCGGGCAGATCACCTCCCGACTGATCAGAGTACAACGACAATAATGTGACAAGATGAGTAGGGCCAACCCTGCTCATCGGACAAGGGGGCATTAATGTTTTGCTGCGTGAAATAGTGTCATGCGAACGCCGTCATCCCTGGGTGCCCAGATCGTGGAGCTACGCCTACAGCAGGAGCAGGACAAGACGCTGGCCCTGCAGCATCACGGGGCGGACAAAGAGCGGCTCTTGAAACTGCACCAGGAGGAGATGGAAAGCCTGGAGGCTCGGTTGCGAGCCACCGCCATGGAACAGGAGTCTCACTTCCAGGAGAGGAGGAAGCGAGATGCGAAGGTAATTGCAGAATCGCACCATCCATTTAAAACTATTTAACTACTTTTTATATTCCAAGGTAAGGCCCACTGTGCTATACAGCTATTTTCTTCAGAAGGCACCTGGCCACAAATGATAGCTCAACGAAGCGACTTATCATGTGGAAATTGATTGAAGCCTCATACTGTAAACACGTGTTTCTAAATGTGGAAAGAAAAACCGGAGGACCCGGAAAAAAAAATCCACATGACCACGGGGAGAGAGAACATGCAAACTCCAAATATATGGGCGTCAGGGTCAGGGTCAGGATCGAACCCACGACCTCCTGTATACCACGCGAGGTATTTCACAACTCGCCACCATGACGTGTTCATTCACTCACCCGTGAAGATCCATTAAAGGATCTGCCTCGTTCATGCTTTTGATGGCATTGCATTGCACTTAGCTATTTTAGAACATCACACAGTAACCGAGTTTGTGGTACAATGTTCTAATAACGGCGCCACTGATCTCCATACGTATACCACACATGTATGTGTTTGCTACGCTGAGGTCCACTGGGCTCGTAGCGTCGGGCGCTAATCACTCCAACACCGCTCGCTCCATGCCCTTTTGTTAATACAGGTTAATTAAATGGACGACATGGTCATTAATGAATAGGAGTTTTCAATGTGCAACTCTCACTTTCCATGGGGTTGAGCTGCCATTGTTTATTCAGCACCCTCTGGACGTGCCATTTATGAGTTGGTGTCATGGATTGGTTCATTGTAAGTCATTTCTTCAAGCCCGGGTTGCACTGAATACTGGAGTAATAAATTAAAACACATTTTCAATATGTAGGTTAGGCGTGAGTTAATTATTATGATTCCATGTTGGGCAAAATGTGAGAGATAAGTGAGAAACTTATGCTCCTCTACCTAAAATAATATTTTACACTGCATTTCAGGATCACAATATTTACCTTAATTTTTTTTAAAGGCAACAACATGAGGTCATGAAGTTCTAATTCAGCTCTATTGATATATTTGCATGTCTGCAACTACATCTTGTGTCACTTGAAAACTCCCGCTTTGATTCACGTGTTTCCAGAGGGCCATGTCAGTTCAGCATGTATTTTGTTCATCAGCGTCTCCAGATTTCAGTGCTTCTCCAGGGATAAGAGCAACCATCAGTTCAGCTCTCAACCCTAATTTTTCGGAATTAGTTTGCTTCATAAGTTGGCATAGTGCTGACATTTGTACCGTAGCAGATTGCATTTCCCCAGCCTTGTGACTTTAGTTGCATGTTCTGACAGTGTCACTTGTCTACTACACCAGCTTTGGGGGGGGGGGGGGGGGGGGTGGTGGGAGCTACCCTCCCAAGCCAACTCACGGTGAGTAGCTGACGCTGTTTGTCAGCGCCGAGCAGGCGAAGGGTGGCAGGTGTGGGTCACCTCGTCCCATTGTTTGCCAGCCCCACCCTGCTAGCCCGCGCAGTGACGCCAGCACCGGGAGCACCCAATGAGGACGTGTCAATGTCACAATTTTACCGGCAACTGTCAATGGCAGAAAGGGTAATTTGCTGTTGGACGGATTACCCCATACATTTATGTGCGTTATGCACTAAAAAGCAATGACGTAATGAAATTATAATGACCTTTTTGTCACTGCACTGCTGGATGAGGGCCTCCCTACGCCGTGTCAGTAATGTTTTTTTTTTACGATACTTCACCACCCTGGTCAAGTTGGTGAAGAGTGGACATGCAGGCGGGACCAGTTCTAAGATATAAGTTACATTCATATAACAGTAATTTGTCCGATAGATTGCATTGAACCATGCAAATGTGGAAGCCTTAACGTTGGTTTTCCCAGCAAGTTAAAGTGCTCAACTGACTTAAATTTTTTTGAAGAATGATGAAAAGCTTCTGAGAATGAGATTCTAAGAAATGTATACTGTATGTGAGAAGGTTCAGAATATGGCACAAATAACAGTAGCACCAACTTAACATCAGGCCATGAGTGTTCAAATGTTTTAAATATTTAAATGCATAACTGTAACACCACTTCAAATAAATGTACTTCTGAAAACAGCAAAGAAACGTTCATATAATACATGTTGCATGTTTTAGGTAGCAGAATTGCATCAGACTACATCCAACACCTTCTGGAAAGTCTTAAACATGTGTGGCGTCCTCTTTGGGCGGCTACTCGAGCCACGCCCCCCCCCCCCTGTTTTTGGGGGGCATGTGTTGCTTCCCAGCAGAACCTGGGGAAAAAATAAGTTAAAATATTTACCAGAGAGTGCCACGTTGTGGAGATTTTAACTACCTCACTCAAAGAAATGAGTTCTCTATCTAGGTCCCCGGGCCACATTCCCCAAAATGATCGGCTCCCGGTTCATACTCGGCGTACACTGCATTGAGCGGGACATTCTACAAACAAACTGAAGGCACCCCAATGGGTTATCCCTTGTCTCCGGTTGTCACCAATATTTTCATGGAAAATTTTGAGACGGATGCCACTCAGGCATCCACGCTACGCCCGTCCTTGTGGAAGAGGTACGTGGATGACACATTTGTCATATGGCCACATGGCCGACCGGCTCTGAACTAATTCCTCAACCACGTCAATTCCATACACCCAGCCATCAAATTCACCATGGAGGTAGAAAAGGATGGCATGCCACCCTTCTTGGATGTCTTAATCAAAGACAGACCAGATGGCTCAATGAGACATTCTGTCTACAGGAAAGTAACCCATACTGATGCCTACCTAAAACCTGATTCCCACCACCATCCATCCTGGAAGAATTCTCTCATCAAAACGCTACACCATAGAGCTCAATGTATCTCCGACCATGAACACCTGACCAGTGAACTCAAACACGTACACCAAGCTCTCAAGGCGAATGGATATTCTGACTACACAATCCGCAAAGCTATTACCCCAACCGTGAGGAAGGAGCCATTTGAGGATCCAATCAAAACCATCACCTTGCGATACATAGCAGGGGTAACCAAAAATATTTCTAACATCATGAACAAACACCAGATCCAGGTCCTATTTAACACAGTACATAAAATTTGTGATCTGATCCCATCTGTGAAGGACAAGATTCCTGACATGCAATATCCCGGCATCTACAAACTAAGCTGTATCTGCGGCAGCAGTTACATTGGGGAAACTAAGCGACATGTCTCGGACCGTATTCGTGAGCATAAGGCAGATTTGAAACACTGCAGGACCAATACTTCTGCCGTGGCTGATCATTATTTTAATGCGGCTGGCTCACACGAAATAGATTTCTCTAAGACGATGGTACTTTGCAAGCCTTCTGGCTGTCAACAAAGATTCGTTCATGAAGCCATCAATATATACAGAGACAATTTCAACCGAGAGGATGGTGATAAACTCAGCAATGATTGGAAAGATGTCATCAACCACTTTGGGTCATGACTTGTGTTTTCTTGTCAATCAACCTCCACCGTCAGCAGTGCGGTGTGTGGAGCGGGGTGCAGTGATTGCCTGGCAGCCCTTTGATTGGTGTAGATCCATTGCCGGTGCCGTTGTTTTCTCCTGCATTGGCATTCGCTCCCCGCCCATGCTGCTGGTGCTGCTGAGACACTCGGGCTACGCCCATCTCTAAACCTTTATAAACAGTTTACCTTTAGAGGCTAACCCCCCTTTTCCTGATGATGACCGCTCGTGTTGCGATGGAAACGTCGTGGCTTTATTTTCAAGCTCCAGTCTACATTATAGACTGCCAGTACACTCACCAAACTTAATAACCAGGCTACAGTCTACATTATAGACTGCCAGTGCACTCACCAAACTTACCAGGCTACAGTCTATATTATAGACTGCCAGTGCACTCACTCCGATTAAGAACCAGGCTACAGTATTATTTTTATTATTTGTATTCGCTTTATTTTTATTATTCTTTTTCTATTGACGTGACTTTACCGAAAGAACCAAAGAATATGAATTTCTGCAGTCACGAAAGTTTTAAGTAAAAAAGAGGTGTTAATGTAGGCGAGCTTGGTCTCCGTATTTGGTCGGGGGTGAGTGCCGGAAAGACCATGTAAGTGGCAAAATAGACTTACATCTCCTTCGCCACAATATACCTTCAATTCGTGCCTGAAATATTTTGTTCATGCAAAGTCAGTCGTATGGGTATTGACATATGTTGGTTTCTAAGTAGGTATTGAAGGTCAGGCGCGATCTTATTTCAAATCTATTTTGAGTTAAAATCCCAACAAGAGGTTGGGTCAGCCCATCATCCCTCTAGGGTTGATTGAATGTGTACTACATTGTGCCTCCCACCCCATGACAGGTTGCAAATGGAGTTGTATTGCCCTTGTACTCATTTGAGGAGGAAGACACTTTTACCTATTTTAGAGTCATTTTTTTTACGAAGTAATTGTAGATTGCAATTAGATGTTAGCGATTGCCATTTACAGGCCCCTGCCATTGTGAATCATGGCTCTTATTTAATGATCGCTTTCTCAAATTTTTTTGACTATCTCTCTGCTCGGTGGGAAGTTCACCATTCTCCTCTGCTGCCCCGTATTGCGAAACTCCCTACCCTCAAGCAATCTCTGCTGTCGACTCACTGCCCCCTGTTCCAGTTCAGCCTCAAGACCTTCTTCCCTTTTACCTCTGCTGATGACTGATTGTGCCTCTCTTTATCAAATACATATGCCCACTGTTTCTTTCATCAACTTGAGATGTGCTTTTATTTAGATGCTATATAAATCCTTTTGTTATTACATTGCATCACACTAAGTAAAAAAAAACAGGTTTTGAAGTTGTAAAATTTTGCATACTGGTATGTAATGCAATATTAAGTAGATGATCTGTGCTTGTGTTTTTTACTGAATGGAATTTGGAATTAATTTAAATTATTTGTAGTTGTCTATATCCGCTAAAAAATATAACAATGCATACTAGTTATCATGGAGTTGTATTATTTTAATGTCATCATCAGCCATGATACGTCCACTTTGCCATACAGGAAGATGCTTTATACAAATTGGATTTGAG